AGAAGACTCTTGAGAGTCCCTTGGACTGCAAGGAGATCCAACCAGTCCATCCTAAAGGAGATCAGTCCTGGGTGTTCATTGGAAGGACTGATGTTGAAGCTGAAACTCCAGTACTTTGGCCACCTGATGCAAAGAGCTGACTCATTTGAAAAGACCCTGATGTTCGGAAAGATTGAGGGCAGGAGGAAAAGGGGATGACAGAGTATGAGATGTTTGGATGGCATCACTGACTCAATGAACATGGGTTTGGGTAGACTCTGGCAGTTGGTGATGGATAGGGAGGCTTGACTTCCTGTGGTTCATGTGGTCACAGAGTTGGACATAACTGAGCAACTGACCTGAAAAAGTTATAGTTGCTCATATTTGTAAATGTGATTACTTGGAAAAGTCTAATATGTTGGCAGTTGCAACTCAATAACCTCCATGCAAATTAAGTAAACCAGATTTTCATTAGTGAAAGTTGAACTATATTGGAGTCTCATGACTTATTTCATAAAGATGTTTGCAAAAACTTACCTCACTCTATTTGTCTCACATTAACACTCAAAATACTGTGACAGAAATCATTTTAATGCAGGCAGATATAAGATACCTGGTTATCACTAGCATGGCTATTGAATAACTTTATGTTTTAGATATAAACCAGCTATGAAAGAGTCGCTGAATTGTTTTTTAATTTAAAAAGGTATATTACTGGAAAAGACAGCTTGTTAAGGGTCAGGAGAACAGAATATGAAACCTCACTTAAAACACTAGAGCACCCACATGTTTCTCTCAAATTGCTTTCAAATTATTCAAACACACTGTTATAAATATCATGCCTGCATTGAATAAAATACATATATTTTGTTTGAGCTTTTCAATCAAGTTCTTCAAAGCTCTTTGTAGCAGGGATGTGTACTAGGTCTGAGTCAGGACAGGTTAATCAGTTTAAAAACCTACAAAATGAATCAATGCTGGATCTCTTAAATCTTGAATTAAATCCAGGTGGATTATATTTGAACAACAACAAAAGAAAAAAAACACAGTAGATTTTGCAGTTTCCTTGATACCTTTAAGAATAAAACAGATCTCTCTCTTATCTGCCAGAAGAATAGTTATCTTTCTCATGAACCCTCCCCCTCTGTCGTACATTAATTTAGAGGAGCTCAAAAGTTTTACCCAAGAAATAGTTAGCCTACAGATCCACGTGGCTATTCAATTTCTCTAGTTATTTCCATTGATAAGTGCTCATCACTGTCTTATCTGATTTCTTCGTAGCATCTCAGACTTGTCAGCTCACCAAGATACCATTTAGCAGCTAAAGGGGGGGGGNGCCCACAATGAAACTATCCAGTAGGCCGTTTCTACCAAAACAAATTACAGAAGCACTGGACAACTGGGCCATCTACAGGATCTGACTGGACATCCTGATGTTAAAGTCTAAAGAGAGCGGTTTTTTCCTTAACCTCCGGGTGTTGCCCTAAGGAATTTATTTTCACGTCATTCTGAAGGATTGGGGGCGGGGAGCCGGGCTTAAGAAAACCAGTGAGTGAAAGGAGGGTTGGATTAATTTGTGGGGCTACTTTAAACAAAATTGCAAAGTTTACTGAGTGGTGACTACGAACTTTTTCCAACAGGAATACATCAGCCTACAACTACAACAAGGCGAAAAATTACAGTTGGCAGGTTTCCGGGGTCGTGGTGTCCGAAACACCACCGTAAGATCCAACAGGCGCCTCTACCAGCTGGCGGACCCCAAGCTTCAAAGGGCGCCCTCGCTCCCAACACCCATTACCGCGGCCAGCGTCTGGGTGCCGCGCCTACACGTGAAGGATACGCTCCAGGTAGTAGGCACCCTCGGAAGCCACCGCCTCGGCGGTGTCCCCGGCAGCCGACAAGCCCGTGCCCAAGGCTTCTTCCAGGACCCGCAGGGCCGAGGAGGGCGTTCCTTGCTGAGCAGCCATCTGGAACGCTCCGGGCGCCTTGCCCCTAACTGGCCGCCGCAGCCCTAAGGCCAACCGCGAAGACGCAGAGGAGCACACACACACAGCTCTCGCGAGAATGTGACCTCCACCCCTCCCACCACGCGGGCCCGGAAGGGCTGCCTAGAGCCCTAAGCGTTGAAGCTCTCCGCGCTTCCTACGTTACCGGGGCAACCTCCGTTCCCTGGTTACCCTAACACTCAGCACGCAGTGCCTAGAGTGGAAGAGGTAAAATGAAGCAGTGGACTTGGTTTGCACACATTTTCTAACCGAAGTGGCTTGGTTTTCTTGTTTTTGACCCTGAAGCATTTGTTTTTCACTTTGCTTTCTTCTCTAAATTTTTTTTTTTTTTTTTTTTTGCAGCAGGATGTTTCTAAAATTTATACAGAAATGCAAAGGATATTTGGAGAAAGAAATGTCAAGCAACTCCAGCATTCTTGCCTGGAGATCCCCATGGACAGAAAAGCCTGGCAGGCTACAGTCCATGAGGTCACAAAGAGCTGGACATGACTGAGCAACTGAGCCTACATGCAAAGAATATTATGCAAGAAAAACAATCTTATAAAGAACAAAGTTGTAGGGCTTACATACTTGATTTCAATATTTATTATAAAATACAGTAGCCAAGACATCATAGTAATAGTGGAAAGGTAGTCAAATAGATTAATGAGACAGAGANCTACAAAAGTAAATCTTGCTTGTTCAGAAATTTAATTTTTCTTGAAAGAAAAGTGTAATAGACATCTAAATAGAGCTTTATAAAAGCTCCACTCCAATAGAGCTTTATAAAATAGTTTCATTGGATATTTTCATTTTATATCACTATTAAAAGCAAAGTTACCCTCCCCAAAACAGTGTTCAATATATCAAATATTTTCAATATGTTTATAAAATATACTTAAAATGTTAAATAAGTTAGCCAAACCCCAATTGGATATTAAATTTATAAGAAATTTACATATATACAAAAAATTTCTAAGGCAAAACTTAAATACATTTAGAAATGTCAAATACTCAAAAAGGTAGATGTGTTGGAGAAAACTCTCAGGAGTTCCTTGGACTGTAAGGAGAGCAGTCAATCCTAAACGAAATCAATCCTGAATATTCATTGGAAGGACAGATACTAAAGCTGAAACTCCAATACTTTGGCCACCTGATGCAAAGAGCCAACTCATTGGAAAAGACCCTGATACTGGGAAAGATTGAAGGCAGAAGGAAAACGGGATGAGGGATGATCTCATCCTCATCTAGGATGAGATGGCAGGATGGCATTACTGACTCAACTGACATGAGTTTGAGCAAGCTCCAGGGCACAGTAAAGAACAGGGAAGCCTGGCATGCTGCAGTCCACAGGGTCACAAAGAGTCAGACATGACTGAGCAACTGAACAGCAAAAAGAATCATAATGTCAGGTCAGTTTATTTTTCTCCCTCAGTTCTTACCTCCTCACGATAAAAATTTGGAATGATGGATTAAAGTGTTTAAAATAGACAAGTTACAGCTCAGTTTAGCTCAAGCAGACAGAAATTTTACTAGACAAACACTTCCAAAATATGAGAGCAGGCCAACCTTAAAGGAGGCTTGTTTTCCCCTGTTGGCATCCCCCATTTTATACTTCCAGTCTCCTCTTTGCGCTTATGCCCTATGCAAAATAGGACTTATACCCATCACCGATCAATGAAAGGGAATGCAAACGGGCATACACTCAAGGTTGATTGACATTTGCAAGTTATATAATAGCAGACTGTGTTTATGTCTTTCCATAATTCAGTCTGTTATAATCAGATGTAGAATATTTATAAACCCTTAATGGTCTCCTTGCTGCTTAGGTTACTTTGAAAAACTCCTGTGGTTATTTTGTATCCACTGTGCTTCTACAGCCCATGTGCAGGAGTTGGTAAAGTCTCTGTGGTTATTTTGTAGCACATCTGTGAGCTCTCCTGGGTGTGTCTGGGATGGGTTTTAGAGATCAGCTTGCATCCCTTTTAGCCAGGCCTCCCCTCCTTGCTCATGCCTAGCTTTCTACCTAACAATAAGAAAACAGATAAATTATGACCAATATTTACTGCTTAAGGTAGAGAAGAAGTGGAAAAGATTCTTCTCAAAAGAGCTAAAAAAAAAAAAAAAATTGTACAACTTAAGTATTACTACTCCACTCCTCAAAAATGTTTTTTTTTTAATTCAAGAAGTCTCATTTTCCAAGGGTTCTAAATAATCAAAGCTTTAGCTTAGAATTACCAACTTAATTATATCCATTTTATGAATTTTAGTTGTCACCCAAGATATTTTGGCTCTCCTACAATTTGAACACGTTTCATAAGACCTGGACAACAGTATATTTAAAAACTAAAATTAGTAGTGTCTTTAATATCTTTGTAAACCTTTAGATTTTTATAAGGATGAGTAATATTTTAAAATGCAATTAAATAAAAGAAAAAGTAACCTTAACAAATATAAACAGAATCAATAATTACCTTCAGATAAAAATTGGGATGCCACCTTCTGTGGTGAGTGCTAATATCTTAACCAGTATATCTTTGCAATGGATGAATTGGAAAACAATCCTTTTACATTGAATTCTTATTCCTTTAACTGCTAGTTTAATTGACAAGAGGTTTGAAAATCTTATTAAGAAAAAACAAAAGGTTCAAATCACAAGAGTGGTTTCAGTTACAATGCTATCTTACTGTCCTTCCATCCTATAATCCTTTCTATTTAAAATACTTTACAAACTTCCTTTAAGTGTAAAAAAAAAGAAAAGTTCCTTAACATTTTTTTTTTTATTCATCTGTTTAATACAGGGATATAACATCTGTCAGTACTAGGCACCATAAAATGTAAACACAATCACTGTCATAAACCTAGATACACCTTCCTTAACATTTTGATGAATGAACAGAAAGCTATCTAGTTTCCCCCTGAATGTTCCTGAAAGCAGCTAATAAAGAAAACCAGTGAAGACAGTCAAAATGAAGCAAAAAGCACAAAGGTGAACAGATTTTATTCTTCCCAGACTAAATGATCCATTTTTGTAAAATGAAATTATTTTTAAAAGCAAAACCAGAAAAGAATCTGACAATGTATTTACCTTCATATTCATAGTTTCAAAGCAGAAAATACTCTTATGTAAAGGTTTAGTCAATTACTATTCAATTTTCAAAAGTTGAGTGTTCCTTTACTACAGATAGAGCGGAAGCCATATACAGATACATCTTATCCATAAGTAACTATCTTAATTTCTTTCAAAAGCTCACAGTAAGTGATAGCCAATTTTAGAATTTCAGAATTCATAGTAGTGGTAAGTGACTGTAGTCAGCCAAACAGCTATATTTTCCCTTTTTTCACTAATGAAAATTTGCAAATTCAAGTTGCTGTGCTCTTAGCCCATGTGGTTCAAATCGAATCAATCCTCTGACTTTAGTGAGGAGCACATGACCCAAGCTTAGCATAATCAGAGTTCTCTTAGCTGCAATGATCAGCTGCCAACTTCATGTGACCTAAAAGGAGTCAATGAGACTTGTTGGGAAATTTTTGGTGATTCTGGTGGGGGGGTGGGGGGGAATCTTATTTCATCCCTTGGGATGAGTCTTCTCCAGAACTAAAATTCAACAGCATCAATTACTCAGTGCTCAGCCTTCTTTATGGTCCAACTCTCATATCCATACATGACTACTAGAAAAACCATAGCTTTGACTATACAGATGTTTGTTGGCAAGTCATGTGTCTGCCTTTTTATTTGCTATCTAGGCTTGTCATAGCTTTTCTTTCAAGGACTAAGCATCTTTTAATTTCATGGCTGCAATCACTGTCAGCAGTGATTTTGGAGCCCAAGAAAATAAAGTCTGTCACTGTTTCCATTGTTTCCCCATCTATTTGCCATGAAGTAATAGGACTGGGTACCATGATCTTAGTTTTTTGAATATTGAGTTTTAGGCAAGGCTTTTCACTCCTCTTTTCACCTACATCAAGAGACTCTTTAATTCCTCTTCACTTTCTGCCATAAGGGTGGTGTCATCTGTATATCTGAGGTTGTTGATATTTCTCCCAGAAATCTTGATTTGAGCTTGTAACTCAACCAGCTCAGCATCTCTCATGATGTACTCTGTGTATAAGTTATATAAGCAGGGTGACAATATACAGCCATCATGTACTCCTTTCCCAGTTTTGAACCAGTTCATTGTTTCAAGTCTGGTTCTAACTGTTGCTTCTTGTCCTGCATACAGGTTTCTCAGGAGGCATGTAAAGTGGTCTAGTATTCCCATCTCTTTAAGAATTCCACAGTTTGTTGTGATCTACACAATCAAAGGCTTTAGCATAGTCAGTAATGCAGGAGATGTTTTTCTGGAGTTCTCTTGCTTTTTCTATGATCCAACGGATGTTGGCGATTTAATCTCTGGTTCCTCTGCCTTTCCTAAATTCAGCTTGTACATCTGGAAGTTCTCGGTTCACATACTGTTGAAGCCTAGCTGGAAGGATTTTGAGCAATACATTGCTAGCATGTGAAATGAGTACAATCATGCAGTAGTTTGAACATTCTTTGGCATTGTCCTTCTTTGGGATTGGAATGAAAATTGCCCTTTTCCAGCCCTGTGGCCACTGCTGAGTTTTCCAGATTTGCTGACATAGTAAATATATAGTTATGAACAAATGCATATATACATATATATATGTGTGATTATTTCTTTGTTTTATTATATACAACCTTTTTCGTTTTTTCTTTTTGGCCTCAACATTTCCGATCTCCTCACCTTTCCCCCACATTGGCTCACTTGCATCAAGTTTATCCATGTTAACAATATGATATCCTTCTATATTTTCCTCATTTGCCACCCACTATGACCTCTCAATATCATTCACTTTTATTTCCGAGTGTGTCATATTACAAAGCTTATCAATCTCCTGATACTGAGCTGTTTCTGTAGTCATATATGTAACTAAAAAGGTCAAGAAAACCACAACTTGATAGAGGGATGCTAGATTATTTGTACAAATAAAGTTCACTTTGTTAGTGGTGGTATTTTATTCCTTAATGTACCTATAATATTATTTAATTTTCCACTGTAAAAATGCCACCATGAGCAATAATAAAGTCCACGTACATATAACCTTAGTTAATATTGCTTTGATTTCAATCATATAGATTCTGTAGGCTGGTAGAAAATCTGCATCAAGGGTATATTATATTTAATCTCAGTAATTGTTGTCAGATAATTTCCACAAATATTTTAAACCTCACATTTGTATCTGCAGTGTGTATATGTATAGCTTTCCTTTAAATTTTGAC